ACAAAATTACAGTTACTGAGTCTGACAGTGGAGGATACAGCTGCTTAGGTGGAAGAAACTCCACCTGGACAGAGTCGAGTGATGTCATCACATTGAGAGTAATAGGTAAGTTGGACACATTTCTCTCATTTTAATTCCAAAAAGATTGCAAAATAATTTCCACAGTACTGTGCTTTTCTTTTTTTTAGTTTGATATCTAAAGTCATGCACAACAGCTTTTAATGTTATTATGTTAATATTAAGTAATCACTCAGGGTAAAAACGAGAAAACAAATTGTTTCTTACATGAAAAAAATAAATGCAAATGTAATTGTCCCAGTTTCTTCATGTCTGTAGCTGCAAACACACAGTTTTCACCACTATTTCAAAATTGAATGAGAGCTGACGTCCTGCAGCTAAACTCTCTCCTCGGCTGAACATTTGCTGCCATCAGCTTCTTCTCTGCTGGAAAGTTTCAAGACAATAACAACAAAATAGAATTCAAAAAAATAGAAAATAGAAAACAAATGAAGCAATTTGTTTATCTTATCACAAAATAATTTATTTCATGATAAGATAAAGACATGTGATCATTTAAAGACACAGACACTCGTTTACATGTTTTTATTTCTTCACACACAGATGACTGAAACAGTCTCTTTACTGGCTTTGGAAAAAATCAGTTGAATAACTGCAGACCGTACAGAACTCAACTATATTACTGTTTTGTCCTCTGTAATGGGCTGAGCCCTGACATGAAATCACAACCAGCCACAGAAACAACTTTTCTATATGGAACCAATGTTTTGATAACTCCACAGATTTATAAACACAACTTTAAGAGCAAAACACAGAGAGCTGTCTACACAAAGAGTTAACTCTCTTTGTGGAACAGAAAACTCAGTTTCCCTCATTTTAGGATTATTTGTATGTTTGTTTTCATTCACTTTGGTAGATTCTAAATATCATCAAATTACCTGTGTGTGTTTTTTTAAACAAACCTCCTGAAAGTTGATTTTCAAGGGAAATTTTCACCAGGATGCAAAATTATGACTGCCATTAACAAGAGCAAAAAAAACAAACCCAGGACAGCTTTAATGATGATTTGATATTTGTATAATTCTGCTATTGATTTTCAAGTCAAACTCACAAGTCAATCTCCTAATCATATATTTTTTATTTAAACAGCTCCTCCTGAGCCTACTGTGACCCTGCAGCCATCCGGGACTCAGATATACAGCGGTGTGATATACAGAGGTGAGACAGTCACTGTCAGATGTGAGATTCATGGAGGTGATGGAGCTCATTGGACGTATGAATGGAGTCCAGACAAGTTAAACACACCTCCAACATCCAGAGAATACACAATCAGCGGTGCTACTGAGTCTGATGGTGGAAGATACAGCTGCCGGGGCAAAAGAGACTCGTCCTGGACAGAGTGGAGTGACAACATCACATTGACTGTATTATGTAAGTGGGATTCACTCATTTAAATTTATCTTGCACAATGTTTCATCGAAGAACACAACAAAATACTTTGTCTTTCAACAAACCTCAAGCTTTTGGTTTTTATTTAAATATCTAAATATTAAATCTGATGTACAACAGCTTTTAATGTAATTATAATAATACACAGCAATCACTCACAGTGAAACATCTGGAGATAAAAACATATAGTAAATTACCTGATTCAATTAATTTAATACATTTTTTTAATTGCCACGCTCCTGGGTCTTTTGACCCAGTGTTCAGTGGGTTTTCTAAGTTCATTTGGTTATTAGTTTCCCCTTGTGTTTTCAACCCCTGCGTTAAGTCTCCCTTGTCCTTATGTGTTTTGTGTCTGCGTGTCTTTTGTTGTCAAGTTCACGTTGTCATGTCTGCGTTTCATTATGTTTCCTGTTTTATTTTGAAAAAGGTCCTATGTTCCTGTGTTTAGTGTGTTTAGTTTTGCACTTCCCCTTTGACGTCGTTATGCTCATGTTTCAGCTGTTCGTCCATGTGTTGCCACTTCTCCTGATCACCTCATGTGTGTATTTAAGTCCTCAGTCTTCCTGATGTGTTCAGCGTTGTGTCTTCCCTCATATATGTCTGTGTGTTGTGTTTGCCATACCTACCAAGTTCATTTTGTATTGCCAAGGTTAGTTTAGTTTTTCCAGTGTTCAGCAATAAAGCTCCCATTTTGAGTTTCAGCCTGGCCTCTACGTTTGAGTCTGCATTGTGGGTCCTTTCATGCCTCCCTCCATACAGACCGTGACATTTATTGTTGATTTTCAAGTGAAATTATCCATCTGTTAATGATATATTTTTGTTTGACCAGCTCCTTCTAAGCCCACTGTGATCCTGCAGTCATCCAGGACTCAAATATACAGCAGTGTGATATATAGCGGTGAGACAGTCACTGTCAGATGTGAGATTCAGGGAGGTGAAGGAGCTCAGTGGACGTATGAATGGAGAGCAGACAAGTTAGTTTTGTTGAGCCCACGTGCTTGATGTTGTAAACAGTTTCCTGTGACATGTTTACATTCCTGATTATCTTTTTAAAAGTTTGTATGAATTGACTGGTTCAGAAAAGTTTGGACTTGGACTATAAAATTACAAACAGATTTTGGCAAAACTACTGTTGTGTTCAGCACAATAGAGTCAGTCTGATCCTGCTCTCCTTATATGTGCTTAGTATTGGACATGTAATGGAGACACATGGCGCATCTTCTTAATTTGCATATGCTGATGACACAAAGATATGCTGTACTTAGACCATGTGACCCTGGCATGTTGAGTTCTCTTAATGACTGATGACTTTGAGGCTCAAACTGAATGTGAGCTAATGTCCTCCAGCTAAACTCGGACAAAGCTTTAAATGTTGTCACTGAATCTCCTCGACTGAACACACCTGAACACATGCTGAACACATGCTGAACACATGCTGAACACATGCTGCCATCAGCTGCTGCTCTGCTGGAAAATTTCAAGGCAATAACAAACAAAAGTAGAATTTGAAGAAACCTACATTTCAGACTCATATGACATCAGAAATGCAGTCATGTGTTTATCTCTTTAAGTAATAATCAACATGTCAGAACTTTTTATTGCAAGTCATATTTACAACACGATGCAAAAATATTATTACCATTAACAAGAGCAAAAAAGGCAGGACAGCGTTAAATTTGTATTTCTGTAAGCCTGCTCGTGATATATTTTTAACAGCTCCTAAGCCCACTGTGACCCTGCAGCCATCCTGGCCTCAGATATACAGCGGTGAGACAGTCACTGTCAGATGTGAGATTCATGGAGGTGAAGGAGCTCAGTGGACGTATCAATGGAGGCGAGACCGGTCAAACATACATGAAAAATCCAAGGAATACAGAATCATCAAAGCTACTAAGTCTCATAGTGGAGGATACAGCTGCATAGGAAGAAGGGGAAATTTCTACACACAGTGGAGTGACATCATCTCATTATCTGTATCATGTAAGTTGATCACATGACAGGATATTTTAATGTTAATTCATTTCACACATTTTATACAAAATAACAATAAAAGTAGTGTGAATTAATTTTTAATGTAACAGTAATCATTCACAAAAATATATATTCAGTAAATTTGATGAAAAATGAAAAACAAATGTAATGATCCCAGTTTCTTCACCTCAGTTGTTGCACATGCTGAGTTTTGATCACTGCAGCTCAGTGTCATGATGCAGATCTTTTCTTTTAGCATTTTTCTTTTTCTAATTCCTCAAACTTTCCATTTGACTACAATTTGGCCTCATTTTAGGAGAGACTGCTCTGCTACATTAGCCTTTCTCTAACTGCTCGTATGTTTACTCATAGCAGCAGTTTTGTTTTGTTTTTTACTTTATTTATCTTTACACTTTCCAAATTAAACATAATGAGTTTTGGGAAAAATAAGAAATTAATTTTACTCTGAATGAAGATTATTTTCTGTAAAACTGAACTCAGATAAATGTTTTTACAAAAGTATTTCTTTGGCAGTCTAGTTTTAACTTTGATGCCACATGAAAACTTTGTATTTCACCATTTATGAACTAATAATCACTTCATGAGAGCAGAGCATTTTCCTGCTTTGAATCCATCACTAGAGGTTTAACAGCAAGAGCTAACTGACTGCTCATGGATTATATGTTCATAAATGTCTAAATATGTAAATATGAAGATGTAGAAATACATAAATTGTTGAATATAAAGATCTGTAAATTACCTGGTTTAATTTATTTATTAAAAAGTAACTTTTTGATTATTGATTTTGAAGTCAATTTATCATTGTTCTAATGATATATATTTTTTATTTGAACAGCTCCTCCTAAGCCTGCTGTGTTCCTGCAATCCTCCTGGACTCAGATATACAGCAGTGAGACAGTCACTCTCAGATGTGAGATTCAAGGAGGTGAAGGAGCTCAGTGGACATATCAATGGAGACAAAACAACCTGAACAAACCTCCAACATCCAGTGAATACAGAATCAGCAGTGCTACTAAGTCTAACAGTGGAGGATACAGCTGCCGGGGTAAAAGAGGTTCCTCCTGGACAGAGTGGAGTGATATCACCAAATTAACTGTATCATGTAAGTTGGACATATTTCACCCTTTTTTATTTATATTGCACAAAGTCTCATCAAAAACACAACAAAATACTTTGTCTTTCAATCTTTTTATTTTAGTATCAAAAGTAGCGTAAAAATATTTTTTAAGTTTCACACATTAATTTCTGTAAAACTGAACTGCACGTCTTTGGACTGCAGGAGGAAGCCTTTGGACCCACACAGACACACACGGGGGAACATACACACAGTGCATTTAAACAGCTCCTCCTGAGCTCAGGAGGAGCTAACATGGCAGTTAGCAACTGCCATGTTACAGTGTTGCCCCAGAAATGCTTTTTGGCATCGAAAAACAAAATTGCTGAATCCGACATCTCACATGATGAAAACCTTATCTGCTTATGATGAACTCTTTCTGAGCTTTATTAATCATTTGAGACTAAGTTATTTACAAACATGTTGCTAAAGGTTTACAGAAAAACTTAAGATCACAGTTAAGTAAGCTTATGTTAGGAACAAAAGGACATCACTTTGTTTGATGGAGATGAAAATTATGAACTTACAGCAGGCTGAATTCAAAGATACCTCACAAATCAAAGTGTAAAAATGATGTGGCTAATCCATTTC